TTCTTGAGTATTTACTATAATGGTATCGCTGTCTGGCGGCATTTTATTACTAAGCTCTTTTCTTAGTAAGCGGCTAGATGGTCTGTGTATTTTGTTTTTCGTGAGTGAGACGTGTTTAGATTAGCTACTTTACTAGCTTCTAGCTCTATGGCGCGTGGGCTGCATGACTTGGCACTAGTTGTAATTGATTTTTTGGGATGAATTTGTATATATTTCGCTAAAATTACACCTATTCTAAAAAACTCGAAGTTAATGTTTTTTTGGAGGTGGTGCATTCTTAATGCCATTATAGTGGCTTATTACTTCGGCTCAGCTAAAGTCATTGCTTCTGCAGCCTTACACAGCCTACGACATCGTAGTATCGTGCACTCTAATTCGACAGAGCCAACATTACCCAAACCTGCAAGCGTGTTGTTGATAAAAATTACAATTAGCGCATAGTACGAAAATGGTCGTATATCGTACGATGTGGCGAGAGATCTTATGAGTTCTAGAGTGCCACCAGATAGCGTCTCGTTGGCACGAACCTTAAAAGTCACTAGGCTTTGGATATGGCCAATCAATGGCCTAGCGACCAAGAGAAGATTCGGGGTTATAAAGGGGTCTAGACTTTACGTTTGGCGCTTTCGCTAGTCTTCACCCCGGCGCGTTTCGGACGGAGCTTGTTAGTAACCCTCTTCACGTGCGCCGGGAGATTATAGGTCTCCAAACCTAATTTAATTGCGTTACTTAATTATATACTATTGCAGTAACTTGCTTGATCTGTAAAGAGATGATTGAGGTATAGAGGCAAAAAAATGATGCGTCACTAGATTTCGGCCACACGCGCAGAATTTTAGTCATTACTGCGCAACAATTAACTACGCCCTTAAACACCATTATCGACAGTCTTGGAACAGCATTAGGAGACAATTTAAATGGTAATATACAAAAAAGTGTGGCACACTCTTACTCTGCCTCCAAATCATTATCATACGCAATTAATGACCTCTTAAATCTTACCAATGTTAACAGTGGCGGCCCCAGAGTCAACAACGAGATATTTGATCTCAAGACTATGTTAAAGAAGCTATCTAGGCTTTCTGAGGGGAACCCGAGCGAAAAAATATATCTTTCAATCTCTTTAAGCATCCAGAATTACCCCACAAATGCAGAGGGGACGAGCGAAAAATACGTTAAGCGGTTTTAAACGTTGTCGCGAATGCTGTTTTAAAAATTGTCTAAGAAGTGAAAGTGGACGCATTTATTGTGGAAACAATGTCTGTAAACCAGACAATTGTCGAAATCACAGTTTCCAATTCAGGGCTGATATAAATACAAGCAAGTTTGAATCCTCGCTCAATAACCTTAAGCTAGCGGATCCAAACTCCGTAGAAGGTGAAAAAAAGATCGTGGGAGTGAGATGCACTAGTCTTCTTGGCTTAGTCTCACCTTCGTCGCACGTGCTGTTAAGAACATAAATGGCTAATTAACTACAGCTTCAATCAAGAGAAAAACAAGGATCTCATGTTATTTTAAGGCTCTCAATACAAACTTTCAACCTCACATCTAGTCATAGTCGAATACTTTTAGATTTCGCAGTGGGACTGTTGGTTGCTACGTACATTTAGGAGATTTAGGTTGGAAAAGAAGGGATCTGTCAGTCATAGGTAGAACAGCGCCACGTAGGATCATGAGCTAATTAGCTACAATATCATGTATTAAAGTCAAAATAGTTAACTATGATTTTACATTCCTGAACTAAGCACAAGATATAGAACGCGCGTCCAAGGATCCAATTGACGATAATGTTCAATCATTCAGACAAACTCATCAGCTGGGGTACTTATTAGGTACTTATCAAATAACACCTTCTCCAACAATCCCCTGTTCGTGGTCAGCCTACTCCTTTCCTTCACTTCTCAAATCCTCCATTTTCTTCCGCCTATCATGGTCAATCTCCACTTCTCTCGTGGTAGTGATATTACTCAACTCAACCTCGTCTCTAAACTCTTCTCGAGTGGTTAGATGCCATAAACCGCGGGTGAGAGCGCGGAACTTGCTTGGCGGAGACGACGATTTGCATTCGGTTATAACACTCGAAATCATTAACCTGGGTGAAGCCTGAGAGTGGTGGGGCCGACTAAGTGTGCAGGCAGAGATTGGGAAGACATCGACATCCAATTTTGGAGAAGTGTTGTCGGTGCAACTGCTATTCCTGTTCTGATAGTGATCTGACATCCCCTTGATGGTGATGATGTAGCTTCCATTTCTCTCCATTCCGTTCCCATGTACCATCTTGTTGTTGCGTCTTTGACCCGATCTTGTGCCGCTCCTTGAGCTAATCGTCTCACCATCACCATCGCTATGAGGACTTGTCGACGATGCAACGCTGCCTTGTGATGTAACCCAGTGTAGGACCAACGTGCAACATAAAATGTCGATATTGCAACACATAAGACAGACCCAACCCGGTTCACCTCTTAATACCGCGATAGCGGTTAAATTGACGACGGAAATGGTGAGGGTGGTGATAGAGCCGATAAACGAACGCTTAGCTATACGGCGGAGTGTGGGATTCAACTTATTTTTATAAGAGTGGAGACCGCGGAGAGGGATGATGAAAAGGGCAGTGAGGTAAATCTAGGAATAGATCAGTTTCATGTGTATGGGAAAGGGCCCGGTTAGGAAAAGGGAAGGCGCACGTTGACAATAACTTCGAAGATAATCAAGGGTAGCATAGAAATCTTTCGCATGCCAATAATGCATACACCTTTATTATTGATGTAATTGATTCGGCTTTAACGTGGTATGTCAGCAGCTGCTCTCCGTTTTTACGGAAACGAAAAGGAAAGAAAGAAAAGGCTTACAAGATAAAGTTCATAATGACAAGAATGATGTACGGTACTTTAGGCTTATCAGCGCAGATTTTCTCACTCCTAGTTGTAACCTACACAGCATAAATAGACAATTGAAAAGCCATAGCTTAGTCTGGATGCGAGGCTTCATACCCCCTCGGACGATATACTACATTCTGTCAGTAACTATACGTACAGTAGAATAGTGGATATTGTGCTTACAGCTTTCTCAACTAGGAAGTAGTATATCATGACCTTCGTGGACATATAACATATTAAACCTGTGTGATAATTAACTTCTAATCGAAACATTTTCATGAGTTAGAGATTGTAAGCTTACATAACAAGATGCCTCCTTCACAGATGCCCTGTGAAGAGTTGATGCCAAAGCCATTAACTACTATCGCTGTCGCAAAGATGAATAACGCTGAGTCGGAATAAATGACAATGATTACTAATCCACGTTGTATCAATGATGAGTCGGTAAAATGCCAGGAAAGCATATAATTTGTTGCACTTACACCACGTAGCTAAAGACACCGTAGCCCATTTTTGGATATACTGTGTTCGTTGCACTATTACGTATTATTATTTCCATCTCCTTCAAATAGAAAAGATGGCCCAAGACTTACTTATGCAAATGCAAAGTACACCAAATGTGCTGATGTGTAGCATAGTGCTGATTATCTGCCCCGCGCGCGGTACTAGCGCAGGCACATATTCCTGGGCTGCCATGCTTCTGGTATCGTTTCGTATCTCTAGTTTACAAATGATCAATATACCGTAGGTCAAAGTGACCCGCTATGGCGAAGGATAGTGAGGAACGTATTGCACAATACTAAAACCAGAGACTAGGTATCCAAGCTAGTTCCTAGGCCTTGCATAGGGTATAGCAGGGACATGTAGAATGTCTAGGTACAATTGACCCTTTAAAGGAGCGTCTGTACCCAATTACGCTAAGGCTTGAATGCGCGCTATCAAACCCCGTCCTGACAGCCCCCGGTAGCCCTGCTTCTAGATCTGTTAGATCTGCAAAATCTTGGTATGCATGTCAGTTAGTTACAGTAATCAGCGATTGCGGCTTCACCTCTGCAAGCAATATCCCAAAAGACAGTCATCCTAGAATTGACGATCAACCAATCATATCAGTTGTTCTACAGCAGACTTCTCGCGCTAAGCTATGCACGGAGGGTGGGGCTGTTCGAAATCGCTGCGCAGCTACGTGGAAGGGTGAAGCCGCAATCACTAATCACTGTAGTAGTATTCTCGAAAGTTTAGTTTCAACCATGAAACGATGGCATGGGGATTATTGTTAGTCTGCAGGAAGAGTGGAAAGTTACATGTAGGTCAGACAACCGATTTATCGGATGATGTTAGCTTCGGGGATCGGCGGGTCTACAAGAGCTGAGGTGAGGAGAGCACTGTTCGCCGATTTGAGAGCACTGTTCGCCGATTTGAGAGCTTTGTGTGGATGAGTTTGCGATCTGGACGCGCGAGAGATGGCAATCTCGACCCCTGAACGCGACCGCGGCCGTGAAGCGACATCCTTGCCAACCGAGCTACCAGCACCATTGAAGAGACGCGCAAGAAACACCACCAAACAAAACGAACAGTACCATAGGCTGCTAGCATAGCTAGACCTAATTTTAGGAACTAGTATCGAGCGGCTGGGGCGATTGGGAGACAGCCCTGCTGACGCTTCGCAGCACCACTGGCGGGGCACGATCTGCGGCGCGTAATGCGATGTCCCCCCGCCAGGCTGGAGGCACTAACTTAGTGCAAGTGCTTGAGGGGTCTGTGCCGAGCTATATCCGAGCAGTACATAGGCGAAGATTACATAACAATACCACCGCCTCCGCTTTCGTCGATATCGCACGTCGCTTGTACCTCCCTCCGTAGAGGAGAACAGCTTTATAGCATATACATAACTAAAGGTAGCTTTAATATCAGATAGATACTATTAGTATAGCCTTAGCACGTATTACGCTAATTTTTAGCAAGTAGAAGGCTAAGTTGGCGTTGTTATAGCAGCTGTTGTGTTGCGCAACGATTGTAGGTCAATCGCAAACCAAGCATTGTAGCGATAAATACTACGTAATTTTAAGGTATATATTTTAAGATAGCTAGAGAAAAGCTTACAGCTAGTGCTGTGAAATTCTTGACTACTAGTATTTTGTAGAGAAAGGGCGACGCTGAAGCAAAGTCGAAGTACTTGTCGTTCCTATCGCGACGCAGGGGTCTTTCGCTACGCAGGGGGGGGAGGTTACCAACGCTTCGTATCTTCTGCCCCGTGGGAACAACAGGAATCTACGCCTATTACGAAGGGCGCACATGCCCCTGGCGCTCCTCGAACTGGTATGATGAGACCTTGGCCTTGGGCGTGGCTACCTATAGCATCGTCAGCGGGGACTCAGCCCTTCTCTTCGACGCAGGTCTGACGCCTGCTCACGGGGCGCACATGCTTGCCCATGTACGAAGTTTGGGCGCAAGAAGTGTGAAGACGATATATAGCTATTTTCATGCCGATCACATCGCTGGGGCTTCTGCCTTGCGGGACACGAAGATTGTTGCACATGGAGGCACGCAGGAGAGAATGAGGCAGAACGCTGAGAAGTTGAGAAACCCGGATGAAGGCGGAGGACCCAGCATCGACGTTGTGTTCCCCATGGAGACCTATGAGAAGAGCCTGTCGCTCCGAGTCGGCGATATCGTCGTCGAACTGCATAATTTCCACATTCACACCGCAGATTCTACGCTCCTCTTCCTCCCGGATGCAGGCTTGGTTTTTGCTGGCGATATACTCGGGGATACCGTGACGTATATCTCCGAGCCAGAGGATCTCAAAACTCAACTACAGGAGTTAGAGCGTATGGCGCAATTGCCTATGACGAAAATCTTTCCTGCGCACGGCAGCCCAGACCAGATCAAAGCTGGAGGTTTTAATAAGTCGTTGATCGACGCCACGATCCAGTATTTGAAGGCATTGGATGAACCTGTTAAGAAGCCTGTTGCCTAGGAGAGAAATCTAAAAGAGGCGGTGAAAGACGATTTAATGGCAGGGAGACTAATCTTTTTCGAGGCATACGAGGGCGTACACCAGGAAAACATTGAGTCCATGAAGGAAATACGAGAGGAAAGCACCGCCAATATGATGAAGAGGAGCGGAGAAGGCAACAGTGATATATTGACCTAGTTCGTATGCCCTGTAGGATGCCTACTGTTTTATATAGGTACATTCCTCATCTCTTGTTGGCATTGTGGGCCACCCCCTGTATCTATAATCTGTCGCAATGCTCTAGATGAGAGGATATTTTCTGCTTCTTCATTGTGAGTTATATCAGCTCGAAAGTCTCTTCAATCACAGGATCGCTCGCCAATCTCTCCCCCTTCATCCACTTGTCATTGCAGAAGAAACATGGCGCCAGAACCAAATTTATCCCTTTCCGTTCCTTCCGTAGGACAAACGGCACACGTCCGCCGTAAAGAATGACAACATCATCGCCGGCCTTAACCTTCTCGGAGGTAAGTACGAAGTCGCCATGAGTAGTGCAGTAGAGCTTTCAATTCTCAGTCAGTAGACATCCCATAGTAAATGCAACGGACCTTGAGCGCAGTTCACGCTCGTCCATATAGGGCAGCAGAGCTTTTAACTTCCCTCGTATTCCATCTTTGTGCTGCAATGCTGGAAAGGCAGTATGGCTTTTAGCGCGAGCCTGGCTTTCTATATACAGTTTTTGCAGATTATTACTCTCGCGCTTTAATACTATAACAGGCTGTCGACCAGGTTTAATAACTATATAGTAACTTAGGTCGGCGGAGGTTTCGTCTTAGAGAGGTTAAGGCCCAAGGACATTCTCTATTCGTGCGATGCGTACGCCTTGGAACGATAGAGAGATGGGCAAATCAGTAGGCCGCACGGTCGCTAGTCTTCTACTAGATACATTGTAGACCCTATACTTCGCAGAGAAGTTGTCTTAAAAACGTTCGTTAGATGCAAAGATGTTTGTTACCCATGAGAGGGCTTCCTACAGCAGGGGATTATCGCGGGTCGTATCTACAGCTATAAGGTAATCAAGTGGACTAGCCATTTTCGATAACGGACTAATATCCAATACCGATATTACGTCGGAAGTTGCTATATCTCGAGAGATAGGATATTCCCCATTAGTCGCATCTTTGTAAGATAAATTGTAACTAACGGTTAATGATTTCTCTCTTAATCTCTTTGATCTTATATTATAAGCTATGGCGGTAAGGTCCGTCGAATTATGTTGCAAGTATGATCTTACTTTCTGATTTTTAACACCCCTCTGAAAAGAATGAGAGCTACTGTTGTTACCGCCTCTACTATTCTTGTTATTGGGTGATATAGAAACGCGAGACCTTGAAAGCTGCCATCGTCTAAAGTTCTCTATGACTAGCGTTAATGGTCTTGTATAGTTAGTATGAAGGAGGGGCTCTAGTTTGAATACGTCCGAAGTATCTGACCCGAGCTGAAGGAGCGCGAATAGTCGGTCGCGAGGATCATTCGACTCGAATGCAACGGTCTTAGAAAGGTAGCCCTCGATAGAAAGTCCAGTAGGATCCGTGACATCCAACGAGCGCCCTAAGAGTACTAGCCAGGAATGGTTGAAGAAATCTATATTATGACATCGTGTCTTGCGAATAGTAGTCCAGAGTAAACGCGCAAAAGCCACCAGTTCGTTCCACTGCACCTAAGACTAGCCACTGAAAATAGTTACTCTCCGTGCGCTATTCCGATCTATTTGAACCATTACGACTTCCTGAATGACCCAGATTCTGCGAAACTAAGGACGGGAGAAATAGCGGTCTGTACAATCTATAATCAATTCTAGCATGACGGATAGTGCAGGCGTGTCTTTAAATATTGCGTGGAGATACTCAATAGCATCACTACTAAGAGATTTAAGCGCAAAATAGTCCGTAGTGAGTTGCATCAGCTTTTTGTTGGAGATCTAAGCTACTTAGCTGATCTCTGATAGAACTAATCCATCAATCTCTAATCTATGTTGGGACGATACCGATCCCTGACCCAATTCAACAACGTTACCCTGAACCAACTCAACGATCGATCCCTGATCCAATCTATCT